TGCTGTCTCGATGCCCTGGGAGGCCACTGTGTTCGTCTTTTACAGTAGGTGTAGGGTTTTACACTAAGTCCTATTTAATTTCTCCGTGTCTGTTTTGGTTATTCCTTGCCAATAGGAATTTCCAACATGGCATGATAGAAAGATCCCAACTTCGGACAAAAGAAACCTACATAAATACCATGTCTGTTACTGACCGTGCGGTCCTCTTTGAACGGAGTTTCCATTTTTAAAATGGAGATAATACCAAACTCACAAGTTTATTTGGAGAATGAAGTGAAATGGTTATACAACTTACTTGAGAATAACAAACAGCACATTAAAACCCACACCCAAGGGGCAGCAGTTAAGGCGCTGGACTCCTCCATGGCCGGCCATGGTTCAAGTCACAGACCTGGTGTCTTGCTTTCTCATTTTCTCTCCCTCTTTTTCTCTCCCTCCTTCTCTTTCTGTCTTTTGCTGGTGAGTGCATGTGTCCTATAGTAAGTTAAAAATAATAATAATAATAATAATAATAATAATAATAATAAATAATTCTTAAAAAAAACACTCCCAAATACAAGTTTCCCCTGCTTATTTCACCAGAAAATAAGATAACTTGTTGACTTTATATTATTTGAAGATAAGATAACCACGCCTTCCAAGTTTTCATCTAAGTCGTTAATGGCATTTTAAACACAATAGGCCACTTAAAAACATCAGGGAAGGGACCAGCAATTAGTGTAATGGCTATGTCACTGGACTCCTATGTAGCCGACCACGGTTCGAATCTTGGACCCGGTGGCTTAAACTCACGCAGGGCATGTGTGCGTGCGTGGCCCAGATCCTGAGAGGAGAATGGAGGAGAAGGGATTGAGGCGTGGCCATCCCCCCGGAGAGGGGGGGTGATTTCTCGCTTTCTGTCTCTATGTCTCTCTCTGTGTTTCTGGCGAACACACGTGCCCCTATAGCAAGAACCTCTCCAAAGGGGAAAAAAAAAACCATCAGGGAAGATTACAACAGTAAGAACAAAGAGCAAAGAAGCACGAAAAGACTGCTTATGATAAAGCAGAAAAATAAAACAGCCAGAACAGCAAAAACAGTAGACAGGCATAATAATGAGAGAAATGTAACGACATGAGGGGATCTTCAAGAAGCTAATGTAGGAGGCCTACAGGGGGCATGTTGGCTAAGGCACCAGAGTCCCACATGGCTGACTGCAGTTCAAATCCTGGACCGGGCAGCTTGAAAAATCACACCGGATGTATGTGTGAGCATAGCCAAAATCCCAAGAGAACTGAGAAGGGATTATGGCGTGACCATCCTGCCTGGAGGGGTGATTTCTCACTTTCCTTCTCTGGCTCTCTCTGGCGAGTGTATGCACCCCATGGCAAAAACCTAAAAAGGAAAAGAAAAGCTAACGGAAAATTATTATGAAAAAAAACTGCGTGGGTTTCCAAAAAATATCTGCACCAAAATAGACTTGAACTTTATCGAGAGATACCAAATTACCCAAATCTTTTTGGTTCCCGAGTTCAGATAGTGGACCACAGAAACAAGTACTTCACAGAGAGGAATTCATCCCCAAAAGGTATCTGACCCCCATGCGATTCCCAATTTCAGGTAGCAAAGGATTCCTTAGCATTTTTCTGAGCTTAAAAAAAAAAAAAAAGGCAAACAACAGAAAAATCACAATAGCTTAGACACTCAAAAAGTGGGAAGGCCTCCAATGTCACCTCTCTCTTCTAATCTAGTCCTGGATGCAAAGTCTGAGTGAGCTAAAATACAAACACCTCCTCTCTAAAATCTTCAATGGCTCCCTATTACCCAGAGGATACAGTCCATGCATGGCTGCCTGCCTCTTCGCACTCACCTTTTGCACCACCATGCCACTCTTTAGATGTATTTTCTCATCTGTCCCTGAGTCTCTGTTCATGTTGTCCCTGTACCAAGGATGCTCATCACCCACCTTGTCCCCCTGCTCTCTGCGTAAACTTCCCCAGGCACCAGCAGCGAAGATTGCCGAGGAGCTCCCTCCTCTCCCAGAGGTTGGCCAGGCCCACCTCTGAACCGTCCATTCTATGGATGTTATTTCTGTCACCACCAACGTTGCTATGTCACCGCTGTAGGTTTGATGTCCCCCTGCTGGAACACGCACCCGAGCAGCCTGGTCAGTGAACGCCATGGCACGTGGGATCAGCCACTCTTTGTCCAACCAGAATGAAGATGGCATTGAACACACCCTTTGTTTGTTTGTTTGTTAGTTAAGATTTTTTTTTTTTTTTGCTATAGGGCACATGCGCTCGCCAAAGAGAAAGCAAGAAATAATCACCCAGGGGGATGGCCACACCGCAATCCCTTCTCCCTTCTCCTCTTGAGATCTTAGGCATGCACGCACACGTGCCCAGCACACATTCCTTCTTAACCAACGCCCTCCAGGGAGAGCTAGCCAGGCACCCTGAGAACACCACCACAGACCAGGAAGGGCTGGGGATCCTTTCTCTCTTTCTTTCTCAGCCTCGCCGGAGAATTACTCAGGACCGACCAGTATCTGCCAGACTTGTCTGATACAATCAATCACGGTGCTTTTTTTCTAAAGAGATTTTTGCTATAGGGCATGTCAGCAGAGAGACAGAGAGCAAGAACTCATCCCCTGGGGGGATGGCCATGCCACAGTCCCCTCTCCTCCATTTTCTTCTCTCGGGATTTTGGGCATTCACGCACACGTGCCCAGCGTGAGTTCCAAGCTGCTGGGTCTGGGACTTGAACCATGATCGAACACCTTAGCAGTACTTTAGCCATTACGCTACCTGCTGGCCCAATCATGGTACTTTTAAGTCAAAGTATGGGTTCCCAAGCATCCCTCCCCACACCACCCCTGCTCAGAAGGCAAAATCACCGAATTTACCATTTTTATAAGCACCTCCCGCAGGTTCTTGTAAGTCCCACATTTCGTGACTACTGAACCGGAGGAACGGGGAGATGACTGACACTCTGTGCCCTAGCTCAGTCCAACCCCAGGTGCTAAGATTGGGGGGTTCCCTGTGAGGCCTTTTTTGTTTGTTTGGAGAGTCTTTACTTTGAGAGAATGAAGGGGGATGAGAACAGAGACTACGGAGAAGAATGGAGGTGTACGCGGCTGGGGTTCCGCCTGGTGGGGGGGGCTCTCAGGAGAAGGCAGAAGTCCTTGGCCTCTCTTATTCACATTTCTCGGGGCAGAGGTCAGACAAGTTCCCAGCACCAGAGAAACAGGACTGGCTGGGACATCCCCGTCTGCAGTCGGCAGGTGACCAGATGGTGGGGAGATCCCCCCAAAGTAGGGGTCCCTGGGCAAGACCACGGCCCCCCATCAGTGGGGCAGGACGCATCAGGCCAGACAGGCACTGCTGCGGCCACTCCTGCCCCGTCTGCCTCGGTGGTACGGATCGGGCCGGAGGGGACAATGACGTGCCGCCAAGGACCAAAACGTGCCAACCGGTGACTTAAGGGAGCGACGAGTGCCTCCATCTGCTTCTGCTGCCTGCCTCGTCAGAGTCCCTCCTGAGGGACTCATCCCCTCTGGTCTGGGGTCACACTGTGGACCTCGGTCAGCTTGCTAAAAATAGGGTCTCCCTCTAAACCTTTCGGGCATGTCAGGGAGGAGGCACCAGGGCCACCAAGCCTGCACACTGCCGGGCCCCGACATGTTCACAACATACGTGTCATACTGCCGGGTTCAGCCACCTGGTGGGTATCTTTTTTTTTTTTTTGCTATAGGGCGCGTGCGCTTGCCAGGAGAGACAGAGAAACAGAAAGCGAGAAATCACTCCCCCGGGGGGATGGCCACAGTCACTTCTCCTCCGTTCTCCTCTCGGGATCTTGGGCACGCATGCACACGCACCCAGCGTGAGTTTAAGCCACCAGATCTGGGACTCGAACCACAGTCGACTACATGGGAGTTCAGCGACATAGCCATTATGCTAACTGCTGGTCCCCCTGGTGGGTCTCTTGGCCGTGGTGTACCATCCACCTCACCAACTAGTATAGACCGACCCTAAAGGCTGAGAATGAATTTCTTTCACAGGGTACTCCAGGAGAGCTCTCGAAAAATACGGTTTCTGTGCCCCATGGCATCCACTAAACATGAAGTCTTTGAAGTTTCATGGAAAAGTATATTAGGGAAACACTGCAGGGATTTTAAAAGAAACTCCCACGTTAATTCCACTTTTCCACAAATTCTTGAAGAATCCTCTACTTCCAGCAGAAAGAACTCACATACACAAGGTTGTAAGACTTCACTCCTGTGTGTTTGAATGATTTCAATGTGTTTATAAAAACAGCCTGTTCTCAGATCTTTTTTATTTTAAGAGATTTTTGCTATTGGGTGCATGTGCTCGCCAGAGAGACAGAGACAGAAGGTGACTGGGCAATCACCTGCCCCGCCCTCCAGTGAGGATGGCCACACCACAATCCCTTCTCCTCCATTCTCCTTTTAGGATTTTGGATACACCACAGACATACCTGGCACTAAATTCTAAGCTGCTGGGTCTGGGACTCAAACTGCAATCAACTACATGGGAGTCTAGCCACATAACCATTATGCCATCTGCCGGTCCCTCTAAGATCTTTTCTCTCAGTCTTTCAGAGTATTTTTATTGGATATGTTCCTGGTATCTAGCACCCAGCCAGTTTATTAAAAAGAATGTGACTGAAGGGACTAGCAGATAGCGTAATGGCTATGTCGCTGGACTCCCATGTAGTCAACTGTGGTTTGAGTCTCAGACCCGGTGGCTTAAACTCACACCGGGCGCGTGTGCGTGCGTGCCCAAGATCCCAAGAGGAGAATGGAGGAGAAGGGAGGAGAAGGAATTGCGGCGTGGCCATTCCCCCTGGGTGTGATTTCTAGCTTTCTGTCTTTGTCTTTCTGGTGAGTGCACGCGCCCTATAGCAAAAACCTCTCCAAAAAAAATAATAATAATAATGTAACTGTCACCACACAGGGTCTATGTGACAAACCCCTAGAGGAACACGCTTTGGCTACTCACGGCAGTTGGCCTCGTCCTGGCCGTCCTGGCAGTCCTGATGGCCATCGCACCGCTTCCAGTTGGGGATGCACTTCTTAGGTTGGCGGCATTCAAACTCAAATCGGTCACATCGCCCGAGTCGGGTGGGAGTGGAGGCGGAAGTGACATTCACTAGAAAAGAAGTTTTTAAAATTCTCTTTTCAGTAACAAGGGAGCCGGCCGGCAACAGCCACCAACAGCTGTCTCCGACAACAGGCCTTTAGGGTCACAATGGGCCCCGGATGCGGATGGGAGCTGGGGACGGAAACATCAGAGAACACGGACATCTCATTTTGCTCCCTTCAGGACCCTGCTACAGCCACCATCCAGGGACTGTTCTTAAGGACCTCAACACGAGGGCACGAATAACAGGAAAGGGGGCAAAGGCAACAAAATCCGGGGAGTGGGGCAGACACACGGGGCCAGTGACTAACGAGGCCGGAGAAGGCTGTACCCGGCCCTGAGCTGTTCAAGAGCTGAGAACCAACCGTCTCGACGTTATATAACCCTCAAAGCGCTCAGGAACTAAGGGTGTCCCTCAGCGGGTAGTGGGAAGTGATGTTAAATCAGTCCGGGGGACACTGCACCCCACGCCCCGCCCACCGGCCTGCCCGCCACACCAACAGCAAACCGCAGGGGAGCCGGAGCCAAGGGCCACAGAGACGGGCATAGCTGAGAGCAAGACTATCCGACCACAAAGGGGGGATAAAAATCTACAGATGGCTCAACCCACAGACCCCGGTCCCCTTGTAGGGAGCTTGAGCAGTAGATCTCTATTGAACAGGCAGCAGATTAATAAAGAGACCAGGGGCCAGCAAGTGGCATAGTGGTTAAGGCACTGGACTCTCACAGGACTGACTGCAGTTCAAGTCCCAAACCTGGTGGCTTGAAACTTATGCTGGGCACATGTGTGAGCGTGCCCAAAATCCTGAGAAGAGACTGGAGGAGAAGGAATTGCAGTGTGGCCATCTTCCCTCCGGGGTGATTTCTCGTTTTCTGTTTTTCTGTTCTCTCCGGCAAGCACTAATGTCCTATAGCAAAAATCTCTCTCAAAAAAAAAAATAAATAAATAAAAAATAAACACAAAAAAGAAGGTGTCCAGCCTCAGAGGCTAAGCTTAAAGCAACCGAGATCAAATATTCCCCCACAAACAGTCAGTCAGCCATTACACTCAAGGCTGATCAGCCCACCCTCGTGTTCCAAATTTTAGCCCCCAGCCTTAAAGGCAGACAGAGACCGGGGTTAGCTAGGGTTAGCTAAGGAAAACTTTCAACACAGAAGACAGGTGTCAAAATGGAGCCCTCTTACCCCCACCTCTACCACCCAAAGTCATCTGGAAGAAACAGACACTTTGCAAGAAGACTTCAACAACAAACACCCTTCGTGTGCTCAGAAAGGATACGTATTTCTACATAAAACAGAAAGACCATGGGCCAGCAGGTGGCATGGTAGCTCAGGCGCCGGATCCAATATGGCCACGCATAGTCTGAATCCTGGATGCAGTGGCTTGAAAATCATGCCAGATGCATGCCCAAAATCCAGAGAGGAGAACAGAGGAGGAGGGACTATGGTGTGGCCATTCCCTGGGGGATGATTTCTCACTCTCTGTCTTTCTCTGGCAAGTGCATACACACTATAGCAAAAATCTTTTAAAAAAATAAATAAAAAAAATAAGAGGAGGGGAGGAGTCCGTTCACACAGGGCTTTACATACAGGAATGAAGGGTCAAGGAATGATCTAGACAAGAGGAAACCACCAACGATGTTACACAGGAAGGCAATGGGGTGAACACAGCCACGGAGCAGGGAAGGCAAAACCTACAAGTATGCTAGGGAAAGGATTAGGCAAAGCCTGGCAAATAAAAGTCACTCCTTCATAACAGGTTGAACAGACTCTGGGCTCCTTGCAGTTCAGGGGGCGCACCCGGCAGGTTTCAAGCCCCACTGCCGCCTCCAGAAAGAGCCTCCGCACGCTTCTCCAGCTGGCTATCTGCGTTCGGCCACTAGATGGCAGTGCTTGCCCTTCTTTTAGCAGGTCAGGCCAGCTAGCGAGCAGGCAGGAAAACGCGGAGCGGTCCAGGGATGAACTCGCACGCACTAAGTATCTCCCCGCAATTCCAACAGTAACTTCCTGTCCAAGGGAAGTTACTATAGGTGATCCATCCACAGCAGAGGGGAAGCAGGGTGGCTGGCCTTTTCGAGCAGGAAAACAAGAGGGCAGTTCCAGAAGAGAGGCCCCAGGTCCGAGTTCCGTGGGTCTCCCTGCCCTGGTGGTACACTGAGGCAGCAGCACCCTGAGCACCCGGCAGAACCCAGCCAGATGGTGCCCAGGGCACCCCCAAGAGGTCCTCTCCACGACAGCGGGAGCTGCGAGCCAGGGCAGGGGGCAGGACTCACCGAGCGAGGGGCAGGCTTCCTCGTCCGAGCCGTCGGCACAGTCCCGGTACCCGTCGCACACCCAGGTGTCCATCACGCAGGCCCCGCTGCCGCAGCGGAAGTAATTGGGCAGGCACGTGGAGGGCCCCGGAGTCGGGGAGGGAAGGAAGTGCGAATCTGAGGAGAAGCAAGCAAGGAGACCCAGGGTGTTAGAAGGAGCTTGACTCCAGGACAAAATGTATCTGAACCTAGAGGACGCCCTGGTTTTGCCCACACCGGCTAACGGGAAACCAGCGACAGCACGGCTCTGCCAGCAGCTCACTTTACGGTCATTTTGAATGCAGAGTCAGGACCGGAGAGGGGTCCCTGTCCGGGAGCAGCCTTGCCTCACGTATACGTTTTGTTTTTGGTTATTTTTTGAGAAAGATTTTCACTGTAGGTCGCGTGCGCTCGCCAGACAGACAGAGAGAGACATAGAGACAGAAAGTGAGAAATCACCCCCCAGGG